TGCCCTGAGAAGGGGGAGAGAACCTCCCTGTGGGGGGAGCCGGAATGAACCTTCCTGGGGGACGGGGGGCCTGATCATCCTGCTCAGGTGAGGCTCCTTCTCCTTCCCCAGAGCCCCGTTCCTCCAGCTCTGCCAGGAGCAAACTCTGGACAGGGATCATGGGGGCCGTGATAGGAGCGGCCTTCCTGGCTTTGGGGCTCTTCTCCTACCTGAAGAGCAAGAAAGGTGAGTCTGGGGGGGCTGGAGGAGAGGTTATGGGGAGGGGACCATCTAGGGGAGGACTCTCATCGAGCTCAGCAGGTGGCCAAGAGGGTCTCCTTGAGGAATAGTTTTGGGAACTTCTGTTCCTCAAGGGGGCTATAAGGGAAGATCGTCCAACCTATTATGGGCTATCAGTGGGGAGGGGGACCCCCTGAGTCCTCCAGCCCATGAAGGGTCCTGATTTTCTCTTTTTCTCCTTCCAGCCACTCCCATCCAACCTCCTGCAGGTGAGTTTCTCCTCTTCCTCCTTCATCTCAGCCCCTCCTACAAGTTATAGGTGTTTTTTTTAATATTTTTTTTTAAATATCTCCTTTCTGTGGATACAGCAAATTTTTGGATTTTGGCAGCTTTTCCTTACGGAGATCAGAAAAAATATTGCAATCAAAAAGAAAAGTACACAGAAACGCTAAAATCTTGCGCAGAATTGTTTAAAGTTTTGGGAAATTGCAAAAGGGAAGGAAAGGAAGGGAAGGAGGATCCCAGGTTTACATTTCTCCCCCCCCCCCAATAGTTTGTAAGCAACCCACTCATCCTTTTAGGCTCACTGTGGAGTGGGGTTCCTGAGGGGATTCAGGCATGGGGACAAATTCCACCCCTGTGGCTATTTTAAAAGGGGTGAGTCCCATGTTAATATGCACTGTGGTATTTTGGGCCACTTCAGCAAATGCCAGGAGATCTTCCCAGCTAGATTGCTGATAATTAACACAGCATCTCAGGTATTGTTCTCTAATAGCGTTAGTTCGTTCTGCAGCTCCGTCCATACTCGGATGGAGGGTGGAGCTAAGCCCTTGAGAATGATGACCCTATCACCTTCATGAACTCTCTCCAAAACTCCACTGTGAACTGGACCCCTTCTTCCCCTCCCCCCAGTCGCAGATGATCCTTCTTGGCTCTCCATGGAGA